AATCCGGCTCGTTTGATGACGCAGCTACCTTGCCCGGGGGGACCCGTGGTCGACTTCATTTTTGCCGGCGACTCGTCAATGGCACTTGTGGATGAAACGGTGGACTCTGAAGGCAAGACCACGCGCGTCAAGCGCAACGTGGGCGAATACTTGAAGGAGGCAGGACCGTCACTCCTGACGGATCGCGCAGGCAGTGTCCAATACAGCCTGCATTGGGGCCGTGGCCTGGAAGCGATCATTGACGGAATCGAGGCTTGTCTTGACAACGGAAGGCGTCGCACACCGGGAGGTGCTGCCCCAGCCGTCATCGTGGTATCATATGCCGGAAATGATGTGTACGGCAACCACGGATTTGTGGGCAACCCTTGGGTGGACACTAACGTGCTCCACCGGAACCCTGCCAAGCAGAGGGCGGCCTATGAGTGGCAGGCAGAGCTGGCACAGAAACATGCCCAGCAGATGAGGCGTTTGGCGGACTTGAGACAGAGGAAAGACGTGGCAGCCCTGATCGTCATCTGCTACTGCGATTCGCAGAGTTATGGACTGCCGGAAGAATACGCCCGTCAAATGTGCCAATCAGCGGATGTCTTCACTCGCCTTGGCGTCACGAATGTGACAGGCACCACCCTGGTTCGATCGTGTCAGCGGTACGACAACTTCCACTGCCACAACACAGAAGAGAACCGGGCGATGTTCGTGAAGTACTACGCAAATGTTGCTCTGTTCGCCTACCACTACTGGGTGCTCGCTGGCGTTGACGTGTTGCGCAAAGATGCCAACCTCTTCGCAAAACCTCGTGGGGAAAAGACCCACCGCCAGCATATGCTTGAGCACATCTGGAAGCGACGCATTGATTCCGGGTACCTCTTTTTGGGTGACTTCGACGAGCACGATGAGCTTCTCCCGGGTCAAAAGCGGCAGACTGCCATCGACCAAAAGAATGGCTGGCTCCTGACGGTCTCTGAGACTACTGAGGTCGCTCACATGGATGATTTTGGGGACCCAGTCTACGCGACAAAGGAGCAGATTGAAGCTGCCAAGCTCTTGCCATTCAATCAGCGACTTTACAATATGCCACGGGGAACCGTTGGTCCGGATTTCTATGACGAGGGTCAGGATGTGCAAGTCCCGGCTGAGCCGTCGAAGGCTGATCAGACAATGCCGGATGCAAGTGTGCCGGAAGTCATCGAGATTGACGACACCTTTGCGCCCAGCGCTGATTCGCCTCCGGGGACGGAAGGTCGAGATGCAAACAACCAGGCTCCCGTGAGCACTCCGGGCATGGAGTTCGTGTCTGTCACCGTTGATATGCCAAAGCACGGTGACACCGAGGTGGACCCTGTGACCATCACGGAAGAAGAGGAGCTCCATGTATCCAATGAACCCATTGCGGATGAAAACTATGTCAATGAACTCCTCAAAGATCACCTTGATTCCGCCATCAAACAGGGCTTTGAAAACAAAGATCAGCCAGATGATGACTCAGATGAAGAGATTGTTTTCAAGGAACCGATCCTCACATCTATGCATGCCGACTCATGTCAGGTCGCGGGTGTCACCTACCAGTTGAGAAAGAAGGAGGATGAAAGCGATGTCATTCGTATCTACATGGCAGAAGAAGACATCCCGCAGCTCACTGGTGAGGCACTCAGAAAGTTCCGCGAGGTTACCACTTTGGGGAACGAGCCCGACCTGGCCAACAAGGCACCACAACCGAGGATCCCGAAGGCGAAAGCATCAGGTGAGCCGGGGGCGCCAAAAGCGCCGCATGAGACGGCAAAGTCAAAGACTAAACCGGCATCACCGAAAGCAAAAGCACGCCCGGCGGGAGCTGAGGCCGATGTTGAAATGAAGCCAACAGAGGAAACTCAGCCCAAAGTACCAAAACGCCCGGCGGGAGCTGTGGCCTCGGATTCGACCCCGACAGCAAAACCAGCTGTCAAAGCCAAGGCCATGCCTAGGGCACCACCGGTGCCTCCCGTTTCGTCGCCTCTTGGGGAAAACGAAGTTGTGGCATTGCAGTCAAGATCGGTTCCGGGTGCGGCCAATTTGGCGAACCTGAACTCGAAACAAGTCTGGATTTCCCGACGTGTCTCGGGCTTGCTCCGAGGATGGGAGCATAGCAGACAATCCTGGCACAAGGTGCAGCCTCCGAGCTTCGATGCTGGGCTGTGGATGGATTTCGGCAAGGTGTACTCGTTCATCAAGCGGAAGTACGATGTCAACCTTACCAACGATGAACTGCTGACGGTCATCACATCCAATCACAGATTCATGCTCGAGGTGAGGATTGCGCCAAAGGGGACTTTGGTCGGTGGAAAATACCAATACACACCTCTTCGGGTCAAAGCGATTCAGAACCATAATGAATGGTCAAACAACAACGTGAAGGATGCACTTCCTGAGCATGAACGCTTTGTCACTCTCGATGAGGAGTATACTTCGGTGGAATACCTGGCCGGCAAATTCCCTCGAGTTCCGCGAGGTGCGCTGGGAAAGGTGAAGGAGGTGGCCCCTACCATCCTCTATCACTACACGCACCGGGCAGCACTGGTTGAGATCATCAACATGGGATTGATTCCCGGCGGCAATCGGACTGGAGCCAGGTTCACATTCTTGACGAAGGAAGATCCGTGGACAATTTCAGGCACTGACTATGCAGCGATGGCGGCGACTCGCCCCATCTGTGTTGCCTTGGATCTCCAGATGATGATTTTGAACGGGCACCGGCTCATTGAAACAACTGCTGGTACAATCCTATGCCCTGACTGGCTGGCAAACCGGAACGTGATTTACGTGTATGACATGGAGTCCCGATGCTACGCCTTCGCGAACCATGTGTACGCACACTATCGCGGCATCATTACCGGTGAAACAAAAGCCTTCAATTCAGCACGCACTGGGGGACCAGTTGCCGATGACGATGAAATGGTGAAAAGCCCACTGGAGAAGTACACCTACCAGGTCCTTGGTGACTATGAGAGGTGGTGTGGCAAGGTGGACACTTTTTCCCCATTCGTGTACGGTGAACTGTTTGAACGCCCAGGCGTGAAAGACCAAATGATATCAGGAAAGCAGAATCCTGATTTGGAAACATACGAGGTCACGTATGTCGTTCGCAGGCCCAATTTCAACGCCTACAGGAACCAAGTGTCGCCCAAAGAGATGCTGCCCAACTACAACCGACCTCGGTTTGATTGGCGCAAGATCCACCCCGAGACTGAGGGTTTTGGCAACACTCGATGGATGGTCGTTGAGGGCATTCAGATGCCAGAAGCTCAGTGCCCAACGTGCACAAATACCTACACCCATGGCATGATGTCCTGCATCACATGCGGCACCTTCCTCAACAATGCCTCGGATCTGTGTAAAGCTGCTCAGCTCATACGGATCGAGGAAATTGCAGCAGATCTCGGTATCGAAGTCACGATGGATATGGTACCTGAGGACAGGCTGCAAGGAACAGGTGTGAGGAGGACGCCGGCGGGGACGCCTGGCCATGAAGTTCAACGTGCTTCTCGTTCGGGCATCAACATCTTGAAAGCGAACGCCAAAAGCCATGTCCAGAAGGCGGACAAGATGTCCATGACGGTATCGCAGCGACAGCTGGTTGACGCTTTCTACGCGTTCAACTGCGCAGCCCAGGACCTCTCTCCAATCTGCGTTCAATTCCTGGAACGACTGTCAGATGCCATCATCCCTGACCCTCCGAGGACAAGGGAAATGATCGCTCGTGGCATCGGTCATCGATACGCTGGCAAGGTCATCTTCATGAACGAACCAGAAAAAGGAAATGATGCTGACCTGAGCGAGGACTTCTTCATTTATTGGAAGAACAGGCTGCACCGTCCTGAGACTTTCGCTGCGGACTATTGTCAAGGTGCAAAACGACCCGCAATCCTGGGATTTGGAGGTGAGTGGCGAAGTGAGAAGACGGACCCTGATGATGTGTTGGATGAACTCCTGGAATTCGTGATGGGCGATGCTCAATTTGTACCTGGCTTGGATATCAACCTTGTGAAAGAAACAAGGGCACTTGTGATTCCCAAGGCCAAGGCCGCACCAGGTCCAGGTGAAAGTCTGGCCAGAGCTACACGTACTCAGGCCGAGACATCAGAGCAACGCTGGCGAGGAGCTGCCGGAAGTGATCAATACCATGATTGGCAGCAGTCATCCTCATCGTCTTTCTGGTGGTCCTCATCCAACCGCAACTGGTGGCAAGATGATCGCGGTCGTGGCAGTGACTGGCGAGGACACGACTGGTGGAGTCAGCGCAGGTGGTGAACACGACGCACAGCGGGAGCTGTTGCCTGTGGAGAAGAGAATAAAATCTACGGGTGACTCGGCTGTCTTTGTGCACTGTGTTTTTCCCTCAACGCACCGCGGGAGCGGTTGCCTGGATGACCGTTTCTGTGATGCACCGGGGGACCGGTTGCCTGAAACCAGCAGCTAATTCGTTTGAGTTCAGGTCGATGAACTTGGCTCTCAATCCTTGCAATAAAGAGCGCACATCTTTTGTTGTGCTTTGTCGCCACGCGGGAGCGTGTGCCTTGATGGCTTTGTTCCTGCTTTCTAAAAGGTTGGCATTGCACTCCCAGTTCCGCTGCGCAAAAGAGATTATCTTTGTGAGCTTGCTTTGAACTTTCATGCATGAATCAGTTGAGACATGTTCAACCCTAGCATCAAAACATGACAGTGCAATATGTGATCCGTCCTTGAGGTCAATCATCCTCTCCATCTCAAGGCACGTTCCGGTCCGATGCTTCGCACGTACCGGGGGACCGGATACCTTCGTAGGTCCTTAATTAATGCACTGTACATAACTTCACTCCTCCCATTTTCGTTCAGCGGGGGGTGTTGTTTCACGCTAGGATGTCGTATACATGTCTCACTTTACTACCGTTTGGCTCAAGGAAAACCAGGTGCGACTTGTTGGTAGTTATCGGTCGTTTACCTGTATCTACACGCGCAACAGACCGACCATCGACGGAGCCATTGAGGTTCTGCTGGCAGTTCCGGGCTCTTTGGCCTCTTGGGCGGCGAAGAAGCAGCGAAGGGCGGCTGAACAGCGAAGGGCCCCCCCCTGTTTCACGCCTGAACAGCGACGAACGGCCAAGTAATAAACTATTGAGTGTCATATATGTGGTGCGTGGTACGGATGAAGACGTGTGGATTGCGTTTGGAGCTAGCCACCACAAGAGAAGGGTTTCACCCCTCGCTTGTGTTTCGCCTGGTTGCCTGGAACCGGAGGCATCGCCTTGTCAATGTACCTATGCTGTTAAATATTCCCCTGCACGGTACCAGATAGTGAGTGACTTTTTCAAGGTGACATAAGATGACTGGCATCGTGAGGATCATTGGGTCATTGGATGGCCTCCCAACCACCAAAAGAAGGATCAAGCCTGATCAAACACTTCTTGAGAATATCACGAAAGGTAGCTTGAGCTACCTGAGTTCTCCTTGCTTTAGCAAAAATGTATTACAATCAGGAGTTGGGATTGTGCATTGAATTTGGTCCTGTAAGAGTTGATTCTGTTCGTCGGGGGGGGGGGCCCCCCCCCCCTGGATCAAATCCCCCCTGCGCCGGTTCACGCCGTCGTGGACTTCTACCAGGGTTACTTGTGATTGCCTGCTACCTTTCGTTCACCCCCTCCTCTCTCAAGTTCCTTCGGACTCCGAAGAACGATCAACAAGAGTCATGACTCCAGGGGGCAATGATGGGATCTAAACCTTCCCCCAGACTACAAAGAGGGAGAGATTCACCAGCTCGGCGCCGCATGGCCTCCTCCCACAGGTGCCACGCCAAAGAGTGCGAGCATGGCCTCCTCCAGCCGCTTGGATCGAGCCGGTGTTCAAGAAGATGCCCAGATCAATCAGGCTATTGAAAATTCATTGAACAATCCATGGTGGCACCCATGGTCCAATGATGTAAAGCTTGATGTACCCACCAGGTCGCGGTCGGTACTTAGGGGGGGGGAGATGGCGGTCTGCTGGTTCTGACCCATCATGCACCTCCCGTCAAACCATTCAAAACGTTCCATTAGGCTGAAACCGTTGAAGTGACCACCGGAGATGCCTTCATCTCAGTGTGCTCTAAAACGACGATCCAAGCGATGTTCCATAGCATGCGGTAGGGGGGGGGTAGGGGGAGCACGCAACCACCACCGGCGCGGGATTTCTTTCTCTTCGAGCATGCCTAGTCACCGTAGTCTTCATGATAGGCAAAGCTGGCTTGAATATGCTTGAATAGTTAAGTGACCTGAACTAGGGCCCCTGATTACTGGGGTACCTATGGGATAGTCGAACAGTCGGGTCCTTCAACCTTTGTTGGAACTGGGGTACGCATGGGATAGTCGAACAGTCGGGTCCTTCAACCTTGTTGGAAGATGGCTTCAAAAAGTTTCAAGCTCATGTCACGATGTCTTTTTTTCTCAGTCTCCGACCTCTCAGGCCTCTCAACTCCACCGTCCAGCGTTGCCCTAAGTTAGGGACAAGGATGGCGGTTTCTCCAGCGCGCTTTTGGGGCGCTCGGATGGGGGTATAGAAGCAGTGCCTGGAAAACCTACCGCGCCGCAGTGGGTTTCGTACATGATTCTGAGTCACTCCAGTTCCTATAAGTGTTTGCACATGCAATGCCTTTCCATCAGCCACTCGACCGACTTGGGGTCACTTTCGATTCTCGGACCCCCGCGCACGCGCATCGGCTCCACGCGGAGGTGGAGCCGCTCCTTCAGGCCGGAAGGAAGGGGAGAACATGCTGAACGCCCAAGGCCCAAGGCCCAAACCTTGGCCACAAAAGATCCAAGAAAGCATCTTCTCAGCTTGCATCTTCTCGGTGCCGGCGCCCAACATGCTCAGTTGAAGGATGTTGGATCATGTTTTATCCAGCACGTTTCACGTACAGTAATATAATGTAATATATAAGGCTCCCTTTAAGATGTTCAACGACATGGTGAACCTTCGTGCCAAAAAGTGTCTGAAGGGTATGATGGTGTGAGCCCAGCCATGTAAGTACAACAGCTCAAAGATGCCGTTCAACGTTCCATGCCTTGGAACCATGGTGGGGCCTCGTGCGATCAATTTGGCATGAAGAAGTTCTGCTTTCGGCCTCAGCTGGGCAGATTCCACTGGTTCAGCAGGTTTCTTGGTATGGAAATAGTATGGCGACCTCCGTCAGGGGTTGCTTTCGTGTTTGTTCATTCCATTTCGCTTCGGTCGCCTTGGTCGATCCTCCCGGAGGCACTTCCACAGCGGACACGAGCACTTCGCAGGCGTCCTCGGCGGTGGAGCGCGTGCGGGGTAGCGCGAGCGGGGTGCAATGTGACTTTGGATGTTTCTCCTTAGTTTCTTTTTTTTGTAGGGAAGGCGGGGGTGTTTCAAAACGGTTTTCGTGCGATGCCTATTTTTGTTCCTGAATGTTCATTAGACGCACCGATCCAGGTGCTCTCCCAAGGCCAATTTGTTTAAAGCAGAGCAAGAAGCCAAGCGGAGATCCCTAACCCTAAGGAATCCACCATTTGGTGGATATATATATATATATCATGCAAATGGTAGGACTCCTCCAGATGATGCTATCCATCAACATCCATGAACATTTTTCATGCCTTGAAGCACCTGAAAGCCTTTGCAGTCATGTTGCTTCGTACGGTTTTCGATCTCCGATCTCGGAAGCACCAAACAACGCTCTTTTTTTGCCCGAGCAGGTGACCGTTGGTTGACAAGAGTTGTTGGTTCGCAGCCGCTTGAAGTCTCTGTGAAACGATAAGGCATTTCCCAGTCCAATTTCCGCACGACGAGCTATGCAATTCGTATCAATTTGGCTAAGTTTGCAGCTTGTCCACACCTGGAAGGGCTTGTGTATCAGAACCATGCCAGGATTGGAAGCTGAGTATTCTTCGTCTTCATCTCATTTTCTTTTGTAGATCGCAGCTGTAAGAATTTGGTATGGTTAGTTTGGTTGTAAAGAACACGTAACGTTGCGTGCTAGTGGTTCAATGTTCCCACGCTGAATGACTCGCTGGCTCAGGAAAACCATACCATATAGATGCAAGCTGCACATCAGATAGTAAGTTTCCAATTTGATACAATAATGTCCACATCTTTCTACCGTCCCACTCACTCAACTTTAAGATTCTTTACCTATACCTCACGCTTTTGCAGCCTTCCTATATCTTCCTATGCTCCTATAGGTCCTATCTTACATCTCAGCATGACCTCCCATGGCCGATGACGCCCACTCCCCGGCCCGCGGCCGCTGGACCGCGCGGGCGCGCGCGCGCCAGCGCCTCCGCGCCACGGACGACGAGCTGGTGCGGCGCCCCCGCGCGCGGCTCGGCGCTGCCACTCCGCCGGGCGGCGGACGCCACAGAGACGAGGCGGAGGCCTGGTCGGGCGCTGGCGTCAGCGCCCAGGCGCAGCCGGCGGAGCCGGCGGAGCCGCTGCCGCCGCCGAGTGGCTGGTGGCAGTTAGGGGTGTATGAGGCATGAGGAGGTTGGGGTGATGCAACGGAAGGGGGGCGGAAAAGAGGGCGTGTTCAGACGTCTATGAGTTTTGGCCAGTTTTCGTTTCCTGAATAGTTTTTCTTCCATTGTTTCGCGTTGGTGTCCAGGACTCACCGGCGGACTGCACATGTACATCATTCCTCATCTTTGCAAAGCTGAAGTGATCCCAGGGGCCCAATTCCGAGGTTTCCCACCTGAGGCTTTGGACCATGTTCGTTCCACCATTCACCTGACGACCTGTGACCACATCTTTGGGATCTGCCAGGGTCCGGATGGCATGCCGTCAACCTGGCCTCTACGGGCGCCGGCAAGGGTCCCCCACCACCTCGGGATGGTGAAAGCATGTGAAAGCGATTTTAGACGTCCAAGGTGAAAGCTCCAGCTCTATCCCATCTCGACTGGATGTGCCTCAGATCCTTCAGCTGCTGAGGGGCAGCCCGAGCGCATCAAGCCCGAAAACTAGGAGACTTGAGATTCAGTGTTGGCTCGGGTCAGGAGAATATGGATGATGGTTTCTGAATGGCTGGTTAGTGGCCAGGGTTCAGACACATAATTATTGGATCATGTTCAGACATGGTTTCCGCAACCATTTCATTGTCAAGGCTTTGCCTCAGAAACGATCTGAAACTTACAATTGGATGTATTGGATGTTGAGCAGGATTGAACAGCAAGGGGGCCCAGCTTGATTTGTGGGAGTCTCTCCTTGTGTCTGGCCGCTTTCGATCGTTCCTTGCGGGTTTGGTCGCTGCCCGTGGCGGTTGGTGGGTACCGGGTCCGACGATGTGCTTCGCAGCTTCGTGCCCAGGACGGAGCCAACCTCCAGGGAGAGTGAGGGTGTAGAAGCCCTGGATGCGGCGCAGTTCGATACGCAGAGCTTGAGCCAGGCGAGTGGCGCGGCCATTGGCGCAGCTGCTGTTGGCGCAGCTGCTGTGGTGCGTTCGGAGCTGGGGACTGAACCTGGAGCAGGTGAGGAAGATGAGAATGATAGCCTGAACAAGGAAGCCCTTTATGGTGAGCAGCATGGCCAGGAAGGGATGAACTCCGAGGCTGGAGACCTAAGTGAAGGCGATGGTCCAAAGAGTGACCAAGAGCCTTGCGAAGGCAGTGCTGATGGCCATTGTGGCAACATCCAGGATTGTCGCGAGGAGAGTGCCAAGCAGCACAGGGAGGAGGGTGAGAGCTGCGACAATGGAGAGCATGGTGAGATGTGTGGCAGAGAAATTGGCACGGGCGGTGGTGAACGCGATGAACATTGGATGGAGCATGGCGACACTGACCGGATTGACCAGGGTCTTAGCCAAAATGATGCTGGTCTGAGCCAGCGCCATGAGGATGGCAAGAATGACAAGGATGAAGGCGACCATGGCAAGGTGGGGCGGGGCGGCCTAAAGTGCCTAACGGTCTGTTTGTTTGCAGGGCAGTGCTGATGTATGCTGATGTAGGTAAACGGACATGTTCTTTGGACAGGAGAGAGTGGCCAGTGGCCAAGGCCGGATGCAAACAGTAGCATAACTACAGATACTACACCCGGGAAGATTGACATAGAACCTGAAAACCACTCGGTTGTAGAGGAAAACCGTCTTCCAAAGGTCCATTTTCAGGTTCCATGTTAATCTTCCCGGGTGTACATCAGTTCTTTGGAATCGAAACCAAGGACGGTGACGGTCGATCAACGCCTAGGCATCAAACAAAGATAGGTGAACCCTGCCACCCCTAGGCTGCAGCAGTCTGGTCCTCTTGGTGAGTTCATCAAATGGTATCAAATGCACATCTATATTTATGTACCCTGGGATTCCTACCACCATGAATTTAACAGTCCTTACAAAATCATTGTTTTGTAAAGGATTTTGAACTACAAAACCAGGTGAACCGTTTGTTTTATGATCGTGGAAGATCTTCGAAAGGGGAAATCGACTCAAAGACGTGAATGTTCATCCCAGGTTCTTTCTGAACACGTTACTGGTTCAGCGCAGTCGCATGTCGAGCCTGCGCCTGCCATGGAAGTGGGTGGAGTTCTGCCACCGTCACCCACGGGAACCTGCAGCATGGTCGCCGACGCCAAACACCTCGGGGGGAAGCGCGCGGAGCCCGCGGAGACGGCCGTGACCTCTGGGCCTCGCTGCCGAATCACCTGCAAAGACTTCCCGTTTTGCACGGCCACTGGGTTGAAGTGAAGACTCGGAAGAGATGCCGGCGAAGGGATGTGGGACTTCAATCACCAGCAGTTGACAGGAGAATCTGGCAAATCACCGTTGCCACAGTATAGGGGTTAATGTGCACTAATTACTTGTATCTAAAATTGTAGGATATTGTAGGATGTTTGGCTTGGTCAATGCCAATCTTACTTCCGTGATCAGTAATAGTCATTTTGCACGGGAGTTTTCTACTGTGGGCATCTGTGGGCTGCCCTTCCAAAACACATGTTTTCTGGTCAAAATGACCAGTTCATGAGGCGCATTGCCCCTTCCTTTTTTGCATCCTGGTCTTCTCTGCCATGCCACTGGTCTTAGCACTTCTATGGCCGGGCATCGTGGTGAATAGCGACACCTCTGTCTTCCTCGAAGCAGCCCCTTGGGCCGGAAAGGGCGAGGGGAACGAGCATCGGTGGATTGGAGAGGAGACCTGAGGATTCGTCCTAGAACTGAGCAGACCTTGCGGATGAACCTCGGTTTGATGAGTGTGTGTATGTCTATGTGTTTTACTTTCCTTCTCCTTCTCTGGTCTTGGCACGCATGGCAGACATGGCCAGGTCCAGGTCGAGTACTTAATGGTTGAGGACGGTCATGGAAGGTGGCATTGGATGAAACACAAGTCGCAAGCGCAGGTGGATAGAGTTTTGGGTCCTTACTCGGTCCTGAGACTCAGTTTGCGCAGCCGCGCTTGGATCTGATGAAGGGCCGCTCTCCTTCTTTTTTGTTTCGCTTTTTTTTGTTCTTCCGAGTGCCGGGTCATCCTGGATTCTGCCTCCGGGAGCGAGGCGGTGCTCGGGAGCACGCGGCGGGTGAGCACGAAGCACTCCAGAAACGGAGGAAAATGGAGTTCCCTTCTCTATCCCAGACACTCCATGTATGGCATATTTAATTCCATTGGGGTGGTTTTTCGGCGGTCAATGGATGTCAATTATACTCCATGCGTGGAGTGCCCTCCTCTGCGGAACCCGTTCTTCACGCCAGCACTCAGGACAGCCGCTCCAGCACCATCCGCACGGCCTTTTTAGGACGGGTGCCTTGGGTTTCTTGGCTTTTTCTCACTGGCCCAGGCACTGCTGTCTGCTACCCGAGGGTCGTTTTTTCGCCCACCGACCTCGTCGTGTTGCTTCGTGACGTGGACGGGGGAGTGGTGACAGACTCGCCGTGACGTCTCCAGGGGTTCTGAAGCTGAGCATCCTTTGGACCTGCGGGAATTTCCTCCAGAACTGTGCGACCCGAGGTTGTTTTACAAGGATGCTCTGGTAGGAAGCAGTCAGAATTTACAGGGCACCTGTGTCTTGGAGGTCCAAACAATTGCAACACCCAAAGCGATGTATGATGATGTATGAGTACAAGGTGAACAACAACAGACAAATCAACCAGGAAAAGACTCGAGCTGCTTTTCGACAGCGGCTATGATATGTCTCTCAGGCCCCAGGCTTACGATGCCGATGCCCGCTACGCCAGGAGCGTTACCCTTTCGGGACGCCTCCTCTCGGGACCGGCGGTTGATGACCGGGCCCATGCCACCCATCGACTTGAACGACATGTACAAGTGCCTCTGACTGGATTTGCTTGGGG